TGATTTGCACTCTTGGATTGGTATGACATTTGTATGAAAGAGATATGTGTACTGTGTCTCTTATTGGAAATACTAATATTGCAGACTTGTTCACGTTTAGAGATAGATGAATAATGTCAAGCCAGTGCTCTATTTCAGATAAGTACATTTGGAGGTTTCGATATAGAGAGCGTGAATGTCATGAGCTGACGAAAAGAACGCGATATCATCAGCATATACATATATCTCAACATTCTCATTGCATGGCATCGAGCTTATTAAAATATTGAATAATACACGAGACAGAACAGCGCCCTGCGATACTTCTTTTTCCTGTTTATAAGTACTTGACAAAACACCATCTTACCAACAGTAAAATGTTCTATTTCCTAAAGATTCCGTTATCCACGCTTCTAAGTAATCTTGCAAATTGATTTCTCTCAGACGACTGACAAGAACACTATGCTCGACGCTATCATACGCTTTTCATATCTCCAGGGCAACTAGAGCTGCGTGCTGTCCTTGACCCCGCGCCAGATGTATGCGACTCTCTAGGTTTATATGCGCTTGCCATGTGGAACATCCCTGTCTGAATCCAATTTGACATGGGCGAAGAACCCTTTCTCTATCGACAAATTTCATTATGCGAACATGCACTACTCTCTCGATTACTTTGAAGAAATGGGACGTTAGTGCAATTGGCCTGATATTTTCCAAAACGTGACCTTCACCTGGTTGTTTTAGAACACGTATGATTTGCGCGATTTTCCATTCAGATGGAATCCAAGCTTCTCTTATCGAATAATTTATTACATTAGGTATCTTGTCATGACTCATTGAATAAAATTTTTCGCATTGCTGAAGTGACTTCATCCAGGCCTGGAGCCGCCATCGGAAGTTTTCTCATAACCTCTGCCATTTTCTCTATTGGTATTGCTGTGAAACTGTCACTTGATCGTGAGATTCATGAAGGGGGATAAACATTAGTCGAAAGTCGCTTTTCCGAACATTGACGTATGCTTTTCAATGATTGATTCAATTTCTGAGGCAATAAGACTATAGATTCGGGATTAAATGCTTGAGAAATTAGTTTCTTATGTCTCCGATATCCGAATAGAGCTCTTTTGTTATTTTATTTCGGAAAAATTCAATATGCTTTTCTCCATTCTCTGCCTTTGCTTAAGCCACCGTACGGTTTAAAGTACCTGCAATGAATCTGTAATCTGACCAGTTTTTTGGGCACTGATTGCGTAATAGCTTCTTCCAGCCAGCTTTTCTACGCCTGAACTCCCGAGTACAGTTATCATTCCACCATCGCGGCACAGGTTTTTGTTCAACTGATTGAACCTCCAATTCCGCTTTGCTACCCGCTTTGCTACGCGACTGCTGTATAACTGAACAAATGCTCAATGCTTCTTGCTTTACCGTTGCTTCAGACAGATACTCCATGAAACCTCGCCAGCTCCTTTTAAAAATACTGTAATTTATGCACGTGAGTCTTCTAATAAGAACAGATATTTTGAGCATACAACGTCAAATGTCACTGAAATGTGATCGCTATTAGTCGCAGTGTCAACAGTCGACTAAAATTAGATGCCAAGGCCTGATCTCGAAAAACTTGAGTCTAAAGATGAGGATGACAACCCTCTGATAAAAATGGGGATACCTGACTTATGACAAGTGAGACTATTACCCTGAGAACAGTCCCATAATCGAGTACCACACGAGTTTGTCCTTGTGCCCCAAGTTATGTGACGGGAGTTGAAGTGTCCCGCCAATAGGACACCATTACAGCTATTAGAAACTACACTATCCAAAGGGCTTCTGCCATGAACCCCTGACGGTTACTATATATTTGCTATGTGAAGTGTTCTACATGAAGGAAGACTTAAAGGAATTACGAAAATTTCGTACTCCGGGGACAGAAGCTGAAGCGTTATTTTTGCTTTGTGGCAAAATCTGCTACAGGCTAAAGTAAGTAACCCACCCCGTTTTGACAATCGATCTAAACGAAATGATCTATAATTTTTAAATGAATATACCGATCTGTAACTAAGTTTCTTGAAGCAATGTTATATCCGGTTTCTTTCCAACGATTAGACAAGGTAAATCTGTGGAAGCTGTAAAAATGAAGGACAGTGCCACAGTAAAATTTTTAATGGCTCAATAGTGGGATATACCAACAGGTGAAACAACCTTCTCTAGTATGCTGGCCTTTACGACCTTGCTAGTTGGAGCCTTTTTGGCTTTTGTCTGTGACGACACGGAAGAAGGGTTTAAGGAAGATCGGCTACGTTTCTGGGCACGCAAATCAATTTCGACATCAATGTTGATACTCAGATCTATATTAGGGAGGTGACCTTCCCTCTGTGTAGGCTCATTAACCACCCGAGTTTCTTCTGGGAGCACCCTATCGTCTCTCGTGCTGCATCCTGCCTCCTGCTGATATGTCAACGTAGAACTTGTCTGAGGAGAAGCTGCTGAGTTGTTCATCAGCTGAGTTAACTGAGCATTCATTATCTCGTACAGACATTCTGAGAGGCTGGTAAATAACCTGTTCACTGCTTTTGATACTGCCTTCTCTACTGCGGCCTCAATTGCTTGGGCAAAGCTAGCATCTGCCATTGCATTTTGTCGATTGGCAATCTCAGCATACCCATGTGTCCTTTCCTTGATAACTGTCATTGCTTCTCTCCTTGAGAATCGTCACCTGTCCATTACTTTCGACAGTCAATTGCTTCTCTTGAAAGCGAGCAGAACAACTGGAATAATCTGCTTTATGAGCACCCTCACAGAAGCAGCACTTCGCAGCTTGAACCTTGCAATCAGTGTGAGTGATCCTCCCCACAAATGCAACACCGTATTCCAGATTTACCCAAAACGCTAACAATTTTTACATTGCAGGCGACGCGATGCTAATGGTTCCACCCTGAAGATTAGTGGCCATGCTTTTATCTCAGATGGGCACGATGTGCCGGTGAAAGTTGTGATGACTGACTCGGTGGCTACCTTCACCTTGTCTACTACTCGATTGCACCGGTAGATAGCTATTACCCCGGCCATGGAGAGTTTCTCAATCTTTTCAGATGGGCTTAGTTGTGAGTCCACTCCACGCACAACGCCTTTCATGCATGCAAGATGGGTTGGGATATATGCACTCACCGGGATAGAGGCAAATGATAAGCATTTCTGAAGATCCGCTACACAATATTTGCCTGGTGATCGACACACGATACCTCCGCGGCCAAATTGTCGTACCTCGGTGATGCTTTCGTACTCAGTGGTTATCACCAGAAGCTGCTCCTGAATCGCCTTAGGGTTGTTCAACCGGATTGATCCATTACCGAAGGGAAACAGTGCAACGGGAATGCAGCTAACGCCATTGTGTAGAAAGAGATTGAGGGGAATCGCATCTGATCGGAGAGGCTGTCCATGCCGAACTGCCTTGCCCAGGAGAATTCCTGGACATTCCTGCGATCCCTTGATGATCCCTGAGAGTAAACTAACACAAGATAACAGATACAGATAGACTCAAAATGTATCAAGATACCCGATCCTTAACAACCAAAGCCACCAAAACGGAGTTCCACGTCGATTAGTCACCGGCTTCGCACCGTCAACGTCCTGGCACCGCACAGCTGGTGGTCGAGGACGGAATTCGGTATACTATTTTTCATACTTATTCTGAGAAGCGTGGTATCCGCTAAACGCTTGCTAGGATTTTTTGTCAATTGTCCATACAGTAGCTGACGACGATGAGGAATTATGGCTGAGGTGGGTATGCGCCACAGTTAATAGAGAAACAAGAGTAAGCTTTTGTAGTGGGTTGGAACATTGGACTGCCCACTCGTTACGCTAATCGCATTGTGCGACGACTGGTTGTTCTTTCGCCTTTGTAAAACACTTTATAAGTCGTAATAATGCCAATGCTTTGCCGACATCAAGCCTGCCTAAGGCAAGTTTGACAAGCCACAAGCACCGGAGTAGCTCAGTGGTGGAATACTAGGCTGGAACCCAGCAGACGTGGGTTCGAGCCCCACTCTGCCATTGGTGCTTCGTCATGCCTGCCTAATCCGAGTATGACAACAACTTACAAGCACCGGCGTAACTCAGTAGTAGAATATTGTACTGGCTCCGAGCGGTCCCGGGCTCTAGCCCCACTGTGTCATTGGTGCAAGGTTTCGTGCGATGTGGTTACGGACTCCGGCGGCGGCGGCGGTGGTGGACAGCATGCAACTGCACGGGACCCAAGTTGTGATCTCATAACAGCTTTCGCTGTAATATGATAATCATGACATGCGTGTCATGTAAAACTATGAAAAGATGCCATGCTCACGATGCGCTCAACGCTGTTTCGCAAGCTTCACTATTTACAAGATTTGGTACTACGTGGCCGGAACGACAATGATAATTGACATGGTCAAACATGATAATAATGGTGTGCACTTCATGTAAAACATGCCTACATGCTACACTCAAAGTGTGCTTGCAGCAGTTTCGCAAGCTTCCTATATACAAAATTTAGTATTACGTGACGTGAATTGACGAGGAACACAAATGCCAGGTGCAAGCATAATAATGTTGACATGGAAGTCATGTATGGCATAATTTACGTCCATCTCGTAACTCTTGCTCATTTTAATGTGACAGTTCCACCTTTCTCATTCATGCGTGATATCACGGATTCCCACTGTATGTGCGTTCTACCCAACTTTTCTTGTAATGAATTGGTTCCTATTTTAACACGACTGATTCAACACTCTTTCGCTCAATAATAACTGAATTGCCTGGCAGTGACTAATGAAATTTAGCCCCTGGTATATTTTAAGTGCTGTCTTCCTTCGGTCTATACTCAACTATATGCTGTCGCGTGGAAACAAAGAACATGGGTTAATTTTTCTACGAAATTTTTGTGATTGTATGTGTTGCTGCATAAAAGCAGAAAACATCGAGTGTCAAGTGCGTGTATTCAAACTGTAGCATTCTCTACTCACGTGATTTACTTTTTTCATTTTGTGTAGCCTATGGAACAAGAAATGCCGGTGGCGCCAGTCAACGCCAGTGGTGAGGATCCTCAGGGTGAGAGAAGTTGCTCTGCCGTCAAAAATCTCACAAAGAGGATTTCATGGATCTCGTGGATGCGCCGAAACAGGGTATTTTATTAACCACTTGGGCATTTCATTTGTCTCTGCATATGTTTAAAGAGCAGCTTTCCTTGCCCACATTTTTGCCGTCTGATATTGCCGAATGGCGTTTGTCCGGTACACTTCTTTTTTCGTTTTTCTGCAACCAACCAACACATGGGGCCCCAGCCTTTCAAAAACGGGTCGCATATGCACGGGAACCTACTAGGTTATTTTAGGATCTTCTGATAGAATTCAGTATGCTAACACGAACGGTTGAGTTTATTCTGGATCTAGCCTCCATGGCCACCTGCGATGAGACCCGAACGTTCGGTGCTCCATGCAATAATGCCTGCGCTCCTAACCACACATCACAATATCGACCACCAACGCTCTGTTCACCGCTATCAGTTCACAGCGTCTGTTGCTTGTAGTATGGCTTTTCGTTTCCTGAGCACAAGTTCGCACAAATAAACGATTTAGTCTAGAACACACACACGGCTGCCTTCGTCAAAATTATGACCACAAGACATTGTTACAATGTAAGTGTTGGTCGCAATGAATAAGAGCGATATTTAGTGTCATCATTCTGCCTCCAAGGGTAGTTGAAGGAAGTGCATAGCTGGTGTAGAGCAATACTGAATAATAATAGTGATCAGCTGGTTCTTGGACGAGCTTCGCACCTCTATAGAGTGCGCAAGAGATGAGGTTGACGGCAAACCTTTAGTATTGTCAGTACTTAAATATACCGGTTAGACATTCTAGAAAGTTCACTAATTTAGGAATCCAAAGTGCAGTATGGAAAGTGTTTGTAAGCCATGTATGGTGCGCCTACATGAAATTGAGGTTTTCGTGGGCCTAGGAGCCCACAGAACTTCGCCGAGCATTAGGGCTCTAATTTTTCTAAACGACGCTGAATCTTTCGTAAGCGCCTGGCTGCCCTCAGTTCTGGCTTTTTTCCAAGGTTGACGGAATATAGAAGTTTCTAACGACTTCTGCATGAAGAAGATTGCGGGTCATTCGACACGCGCAGGAGACTGCTGCTTATTGTTCAGCGAATCTCGGTGAGAAGTGTTTAGCGGCTCTTGGTGAGATGGGTGAGTACCACAAGAGTTAAAAACAAGCCATTTATTTTACTTTTAAAACCCGACAACTTTTTTTGAGAGCTCACATCATACCGCCATATAGCACTCGCTAACACTCGCTAGCATAGGGATATTGATGAAGAGAATGATTCTTGCCAGGCTAAACTGGTTTCTGGAACACTACAGCGTCTACCCAAATGCTGCGGCTGGTTATTGACGTGTTCGTTGTTATATTTACAGTGTCATTGATCTGGCTATCCTACGTGCAACATCAGAAAATGAGCTGATGTTGATTGATCGCAGCTATTCATGAATGTAAAAGGAGCATACGACGGCGCTTCTCATGAGGCCATAAGACGCCTTTGAATTCGTTGGTCTCGATGGACAACTGTACCGCTGGGTTTGTTGCTGTCTGCGCATAAGATCATTCTTCGTGAAGACTGACTATGGCCCAACGCTTCAGCGCTACATTCGCCGTGGCATTTCTCAAGGCGGCGTCCTGAGCGCCGCATTATTCAACCTTCTATTAATTGGTCTTGTGGAATGTATACCATGTTCCATTGCCATATTCATTTACGCCGATGACATCTGTGTTTGGGCGGCCTCAAGTACGTGCGAGGTTCCAAAAAGCTGGAACTTCAATATTGACATACCTTGAAAAACAAGGCTTGGAGATTCACCCTGAGAAATCTGCGTTGGTCGCATTTACTCGAAAACCAATGACAGCTTATGCTGTATCCATAAATGGGCAAAACATTTGCTACACCAGGACGCACACATTCGTGTGTGACATCATCGATAGAGACTTTGCTGGAGCCCCCATGAGGTTGGTCTTAAGAAGCGCCTGACAGCCATCTCCCACCTTTTCAAGATCCTCGGAGATTAAAGGTGGGGTACGCCGGTGCACGCTATGTACTCTACTACTAGGATATTTATGCTATGTGCTCTATTTCTACCGTACTCTATTTCTAGGGTATACCTGTGGTACAATCTATCGGTACTAACGAAAACCTGCGGAAGTGACATACACGCAGTAGAAAGTATTCAGGGCCAGGTACTCAGAGTTTGTTTCGGACTAGCACGCTGCACGTCAACGCTGGAGACTATTGTAATTGCAAACGACCATCCTGTCAGCATTCACATAACCTTGGAGGTACTTACAGAACACATTACGCACCGCGCTTGCGCCACTGCCCCCCACCTGGCTTCTCTTCCAGAAGATTGGCCCTGCGCCTCCTTTTGCAAGATGATTTCGGCTTATTGATAGCGCCTTCCTACAGAGTACACACATGCTGAAAGAATACTGACACCTCCTTGGTCCTTGATCAGCTTAAACTTTGTCTGACAGTGCCAAGTATTCGTAAGAAGTTGGAGCTTTCGTCGCAGCTCTAAAGACTGCTGATGCTACGCGAGAAATACGCAGACCACTCTAAACTCTACACGGATGAATAGACAACTGCTGAGGGATCTGCAGAAGTTGTGAAATTCCCAGCAAAAGAAGAAACGCATAATTTAGAAGGTCTCATAGGACTACATCGACTGCTGTGGAGCTGGCGGTACTGAGCAGTCCACTTCTGCTGATTCAGCTGGAGTTGCAACAAATTGAGGCATATTCACTGGCTCGAAGTCAGCCTTGCAGTGTGTGTCGTCATCTTCGCGTCGTGGCGTACTAGACCAATTTTTAATAAAATGAGTAAAATTTATCAGCAATTGAAAAACAAAGGCATGACATCATTTTACAGTGGCTTCCACGCCACTGTGCCATCGACAGCAACGAACGAGCCAATAAGTCTGACAGGATTGGTCATGAAAGTGGGGTACAGAAATTTATTCTATTATCAAGAACTGGTGCACCATCAAAGATTCGCTTGCTCGCACGTGGAATAAGCGACCCAATTTGGAAAATTACCAGTTTTGTGCATACCCATCTACGCCATTTGGATCGGTTACCTAAACTTGAAATTCCATACAGACTGTCCCTATACAACCCCGCCGCGGTGGTCTAGTGGCTAAGGTACTCGGCTGCTGACCCGCAGGGCGTGGGTTCAAATCCCGGCTGCGGCGGCTGCATTTCCGATGGAGGCGGAAATGTTGTAGGCCCGTGTGCTCAGACTTGGGTGCACGTTAAAGAACCCCAGGTGGTCTAAATTTCCGGAGCCCTCCACTACGGCGTCTCTCATAATCATATGGTGGTTTTGGGACGATAAACCCCACATATCTATCTATCTGTCCCAATACGAAACAACCATCCTATGTCGCTTGTGGCTTCGAGTGTCATTCATGAACAGTTTCGCATACCGAATCGTAATGACTGACAATGTTGCGTGTAAACACTGTGACAGTGAGAAAACCATTTTCCACGTCTTTTATGACTGCCCTCGTTCAAGCTCACAAAAACAACAGCTTTCGGCAATGATAGCACGGCTCGATGACCGGCCGCTTTCGGAGCAGTCAGTTTCGGAGTGCCAGAATATTCTACCTTCCACCAGAAAACGGCGAAGGTGCTGCTGAACCTTCTGCGGTCAACGGAACTCGCGAAACGTTTGTGACACACCCCTTGATAGTGTGTGCGTGTTTTTTTAAGCATTGTTTCCTTTCCCTCCTTACCTTTTTATTCTCTTTCCCAGTGCGGGGTTGCAAACTGCAGATGTTCTCCTGGTTAACCTCCCTGTCTTTCACTTAACCTTGTTCTCTCTTTCTCTATCGCTTAATTCGGCAACTGAAAGACGACACAGGCAGGACGAAAAATGGTGGACGCTTAAGCTTCGGCCTTCAAAAGCGGATCACCACAGCGTAATCGTGTCTCGTGCACGTCATTCTATGAACTACATAAGGTGATTCCTTCTTTCGTTCTCTGCGCGTGCTTCAATCGTTCCATATGAAAAAGAACAATGGCACGCGTTATAATGTCTGTATGGAAGTATCATTGAAATCCTATTGCAAGCACAGTTGTTAAAGATCCACGTACGCCTTAATTATTCTTTTTGCGAAATGCCTGAGGCCCACAATGCTTCCGTAGCATAACACGTTAACTGACGCAGCTGTTTGCTTTGTTGAATTTACTGCCGTTGCTGATGATTATGTATGTCTGAGCACTTTGTAATTGGTGGGCCTTTAAAACACTCATTCGTAGCTCAATTTACATTTTTTGACGCTTTTGCGTCATTTAACGCTTTTGCAAGTCAGTATATGAGGTGTTAAGGACACTCCATTCACTACATAGCGTTCTTTCCCAAAGAATTTTGAACATTCCGGCTCCTCTTGGAATTTGCAAGAATATCATGTAGCGCGAGGTGAAATACAGAAACTGGAAAAGTACAGATGTACAGTACATAGCGCTCTGTCCTGGCCATCTGCACCTTTCCTCTTTCCACATTTCACTTTGCGCTACATGAAACTCTTTCAAATGCTTCACCAACAAGCCCACATTCAAACTCTTGTCTGGTCAATACGTTTCTTTTATTCACACACTGGAACATACGGATGCAGGAAAAGGAAATATTTGTTTTTCAGAGACACCATTCCTTTAGTTTTATGAAGCCGGACACAGCTGGACATGCTCTGCCTGAGTGCTGGGATGCGGTCTTTTTTGGGATGTTGATCGACGGACGTTTTTCTAGAATTTGCATCAAATTGCTCCAAGCTGCAAACGAGGAAGGGGCACCGTTCAATCTCGTTATGTTACTGAGCTAGCACAGCATATGACAAATGACATGTTGATATTATTACGCGTCTCGTCTTTTATTGAAATATTCATTTTTGCAATCACGTACACAAGGCCCAAGAAGATGTACCTGAGTGGCTTCCTCAAGT